TCATTTGATATTAAAAACATCTGAGAAGAGGCCTATAGGTCATGACACAAAAATGATCTATTATGGGGTATGCTGTGTGATGATGCAAAAAATCAGTTAAAAGGCTCATTCTTTTAAACGATGTGCTATTTCAAAGTTGTAGTACCAGATGAAGAAAATTTTGACAAGCAGACTGAGCAATCTGGTATTGTTATTTTTCTAATTAAAATAATAAAGTAGCATTAATTATCAAAACAGTTAACCCTCTCAATAGCTAAAGTATGTAAAAACTGACATATCAAAGTTAAATCAGTTGCCATCTTGACAAACAAATAAAGGGAAGCCAAGGCACCCCAGGGAGTAGCACGCAGACCCCATAAAAATGTAGCAGAATTAATGATCAATCATGTTTTGCTGCTATTGGAAAACTGAATATGTGAACAACAGATTTTTGAAATATACTTTGTGTGTGGGATTGTGCTATTAAAAGTAATTTTGAAACCATACTCTTCTCAGTAATAATTAATAAGAACTATAAAGTCCTTCCCTAACCTTATCCTTTAAATTTATCAACTCAAGCAGGTCTGTTGAGTCCTAACCTTCATGCCTCCTTTTAGGGATTCCCAACTGCCTAAAGCATTCTTGCAGTTCTATCTGATCTGTCAACAGCTTTTAACACCAGCATTTTGGGGGATTCTGTTATCCTGTGAAATTTAATCTCACCTATTTAAGCTTGCAGAAAGCACTGGAGGGAATTATTAACAGATTTTTCCTCATCTTCTTAGAGGATAGTGCTGAGTGATTGGCTGGTTTCCCTAAGGACCCATGGCTGAGAAGCACTAGTTTGTCAGTAGCATCCTATTTAGCATGTGTGTGAGGCCACAAGGGAGCTGGAAAGACATTTGGAATCAGAATTACATCAATATGCTGATGATGCCTGCAAATCTTCATTTCATCAAACCTATGTCCTTTAGTATTAATGCTTTCTTAGCCAAGATGGAAAGTACCTCCACACAGCACACTGTCTGTGACTCTAATTAGACAGCTGGAAAGCACGTTGATGATACATCAGAATAGTGGACCAGCAACCTCAGCATCACAAGGAAACTTGTTAAAAATGCAAATTCTCAGGCCCACCTCAGACCTATTGAATCAGCAACTCTAGGGACAGGGCCCAGTAATCTGTGTTTAACAAGCCCTCTAGGTGACTTAATGCACCCTAACGTTTAAAAACCTCTACAATGGGATGTGTTTGTCACTACAAGAGTGTGTTAGATGATGTCTCCTACTTTTGTGGATTAAAACATTCCTGAGTCTAATTATATAGTTCTTGGTTACTAACCACATAATATACATGATCTCAAACAATTCTATGTGATATGGTTAAGCTTTGTGTCCCCATTCAACTTTCATTTTGAATTGTAATCTCCATAATCCCCACCTGTCAACGGAGAATCATGGGGGTGGTTCCCCATGCTATTCTCATGATGGTGAGTGAGTTCTCACAGATCTGACGATTGTGTAAGTGGCTCTTCTCTTTTTGCTCAGCACTTCTCCTTCCTGCAACCTTGTGAAGAAAGTACCCTGCTTTCCGTCATGATTATAAGTTTCCTGAGGCCTCCCCAGCCATGCTGAACTGTGAGTCAATTAAATCTCTTTCCTTTATAAATTACTCAGTCTCAGGCAGTTCTTCACAGCAGTATGAAAATGGACTAATACACCATGTTAAATGTAACTGGCTTCTGTCATAATTCGTATTTGTCACTCAAGGATAAGAAAACTTTGTATTTTTCTGTATTTCCCTCACTCAAAGAGTGAGAATTAGACTGCACCATTAGACATATACATGCTGACATGCCTAATGGTGAGGCATTTTATTGACAAACCATGTTATTTCCAAATTACACTGAAGAGTCCATGACCATTAAACAACACACATATTTGAGGAAACCTCTAAATGTCCCTGTTCCTCAATCTTCACTGACTCTCAAGTAACCAAATGTGACTGAAGTTTGTACTAGGGGAGACAGCGTAGGAGAAAGAAAACAATTACCCAAGAAATTAGGTCCAATATTAAATTCTTCATGTTGGCTAAAAAATATGTCCGAGACCTAACCTTTCAAACCCTGTATCTTGAAGTAGATACATGATATTGGACCTCTACTCTCTTGATTTTCCAGTTTCATGAGTGTCAGCACTGCAATATTGTGGCTCCTCTTTTGATGCATACAAAACCAAGCAACGGCCATAAAGGATTAACACTGAAACTTCTATGAATGCCAACGTTCCCAATCCTTACATGGTATTAGCCCTGGTAAGTGAATCAATCCTGAAAACTTTGCATAATCTAATCATATATTACTTATTATTCCATCTCTTTGATAAATTTTGCCTAAACTCCTGAGATAAACCTTCAAAGGCCTACGATTATAATATTTATCTAACTTGGAAGGTATTAGCCCCTGTAATGCTAGAAAGCCTTGGATGCTGATTCCCTCTAGTAAATGTTCATTCCAAAATTATTTGTTGAATCTTTTATAGGTAGTATCCAATGTGCTAAACAGGGGGAAGGTAAATGTGACCCAGAGAGATGATCATGGCCCTTTCTCTCATGAAGCTCCAAGTCAATTAGTTTTAATATCATATAAAATTTTGGTTAATTGTAAGCTAATAATAAAATAATTCAAACATTCAAACATTTGTTCTTCTAGTTTTAAATAAGACCAGACGCATTTGAGTTCTACTAAGCTCTACTGCAGGCAGGTTACTTATTATCTCAAGGATCTGTTGCTTCTTAACACTTTGGTAATCAAGATTCAGGCAGCTGAGCTCTGGCCTTCTAAGGTGCTATGTCCCTACTCTGATCCTGTGCTTCCTGTAATCTACTCACATTAACCAATAGCTCACTGTTTTACTTAGCCCTTGACTAGCCTCTCTGCTTCTGACGCCACTAGACTACAGTCAATTTTCAGCAGAGTAGCCATTTTAAAATTTAAATCAGAGCTTGGCACATCTCTGTTCAAAGCAGTCCAGTGATTTTTCTCTTTCAATAAGAGTAAAAGCTAAAGGTCTTGTGAATGCCTACAATACATCATCTGGTCTGTCACATTTTCTGTTCTCTCTTACTTTATTCTGATGATACTGACATTTTTTTCTATTCCACAAATCCAGAAGGCTTCCTCAATAAAGTGTGAAGGCATTTAGCTTGGCCTGCAATGTTTATCTCCTGGATGCCTACTTTCCCTCAATTTCTTCATCTCTTTGTTCAAAAATCATCTTATCAGAGAGGTCTTCCAGGGCCACCCTGTTTAAAATTGCAAACCCTGCCTTCTCTTCCACCATACTCCACTCTCACACACTCACTATAGTCCTATATTAATTTTTCTCCACAGTTCTAACTACATTTCAATATACTATTTATGTGACAGTTCATTTGTTTAATTATTGGGTATCCTCTCTCACTAGGTACAAAAGCCACGAGGGCATGACATTCTAACTGGTTTGCTGACTGTTGTATCTAAATTGCCCAGAATAATACCTGGTACATAACAGATGCTCAATAAATGTAGTTTGAATGAATGAATGAATGAATGACTAAATAAATTCATACCACTACCCTCTTCTTATCAGGTCTCAGCTTGTTTGCGTCTTAGTTCTACCTAAGACAGAAGAAATAGCCACTATTCATTTCCAGTGACCTTTGCAAATGGAAGATGACTACGATATAAAACATGAAGTAAACTGATATTGCCAATCAGGATCATCTTCCTCTTCCAACCCTCAAGAAGTCACCTTTGGTAATGAAAACTTTTCTAACACTGGAATTAGAAGGATAAGACTTAATATTTAAAATGTTTAGCTCAAAACCTATTTCTGAAGTACAAATTATGTGCCAGGTCCTGTGCTATGCACTGGAATACAAAGACCTAAATGTTTCTTTCTATGTGTAAAAAAAACCATGATTATACTAATTATTGCCTAAGACAGAATTCCAGAAAAAAAAAAAAAAAACCCTATGATCATAAGACTACCTTGGATTTTATATATTTTTAAAAAAGTCTAAAAAGGGTAGATTGGATGGGGAAAAGTCCAGAGAATAAACATGGCATTTGAAACTCAGCCATGAACCAGTGGTGACCCTGATATTTTGGTAAGATTAATTTGTAATGTGGGTAATCTACATATGACAAATTACCTATTGACTACAGCTATAATTCTTGCCTAGTACAGAGATTCCAAACATGTTCAGGCATTCCGAAGTAAGTCAAGTTCATAATACTGATTTGATTAAAATGAGTAATTTATCTTTCTATAAATACATTTGGTTCTTGTTCTCAGAACTAACATTCTTTATAAGGTATTATATTTCTCTAATAGCATTAAAACTTGAGAAGTCTGTACTACATGTAAATAGCTGATAACTCACCCAAGACTAGTCACCAGTCACTGGTAAGAATGAAATTATTTTAAACAAGTTATTTTTAGTGTGTTAACCAATTACTAATTTTGAGTAATGCTTATCTTAGAGCTCTTTAAAAATATACATGACACCCTTTTCTTTCTGTTTGCTTCACAAATAATGAACTGACTGAAAGTATGACCAAGGTATACATCTTAGAATGCAGCTTGTAAATTGGCTTACGGAAAATCCCGAATATGTCTTATTACCACATTCTTCTAATATGCATATATTTTGTGAAGAGTACCTACTATTCAGGATATAGAAGACTTAGCACTTTCCATTGTTACTAGCTAAATAGAATACATTTCAAACACATTAATACTAACAAGAAGCACTTGAATATTGACAAAGATTAAATTTCTCATTTTATCCAAATTACTATTACAAATTTTCTTTTACTTGGAATGTCTGAATTAGAAAAGAAACAATTATGTGTAGCCCCGAAATTTTTAAACTTGAATTTGACAATTTCAAGATTCTAGCGATTTAAGCAGTAACAGTTTAATCTCCTAAAATCTGTTGGAGTACAACTCCATATTTTCTGAAGGTTCCATTTTACCTCCTCAGGGACAGCTCTTATATTAACAAAGCCTTTTCTGAAGACGATGAACACACGGCGAGCTCCACAACGTAGAGCGGATGTTGCACAGTCAAAGGCAGTGTCTCCAGCTCCAAGTACAATCACGACGCCCCGTATCGATGGCAATGGAGAGTGACAAGCGCACATTCCTGAATGATGAAAGGAAAACCCCATTTTCAAGTAGAGAAACCATTTCTGCATGACAGCTCAAAAGATACTTGTACTCAAAGCAGTGTAAAATTGCATCTTGCAGTTTTCCAGGATGAAGTGTCACTATCAAATTATTCTGCTTCATTGAAAGACAGTTTTATTCCCATTTTAAAAATACGCTCATATATGTAATTTCATAGTCAGTACCTTTAGTTTCTTTTTTCTTCTAGGAGTCCTACAACACATTTCAGGAGTTTAGGTCATAACAGACTGGAATCAATCAATTAAAACTCTCTTTGTCAAAATTGTGACATCTATCTTTAACTTAGCATAATTAAGTTTCTTTTTGCTAGAAGTAAAAAGTGATCCTTATGATCTGTGTTAACAGTTTGCAATATTTCATTATAATACATTTTTAATATATTACCTTATATAATTTTGAACACATACCTCTGTTATATATTTTGTTAACTTTGAATATTAACATGCTGAATAAGTGTCCTTTATGTAACTGAAGAATTTCTGAGAACTATTTTCTTGAGATAGTTCAAATAAACCTTTCTCCCTTTCACTGCTTTCCTCGGGTTTTGTTTGTGAAATTGGGCAGTAAAAGAAATATGACTTTCTAAGCATCCATTTCTCAAAGTCATCTCTATTAAGATTTGGTGTCCACATGAAGATCCTTGTAAAAAAAGTAAAATACAAATATTCTTTATGTGTTAGGTAGCACTGTATAATCAGATTAAATAAAACTGTTCATAAGATAAATTACTATAATTTTTGAAAGGCACCAAGAATAGAATAAACCTATAATTTCAATAAGTGTAATCATTTTGCTCGGAAGATTTTGTATTTGGGACACTCTGTAATTTTCGAGTATAAGCTAGGTGCACTATGACCTTCCTCAGAAAGAGTTTCAGACATACAAACATCCAGTTCTACTGGGAGGAAGAAGGTGGAGAGGGCATGCATCTTTAGCTTTAGCTGTAAACTTCTGAAAAATAATTTAACATAGAATGTTTCTTACTGTTTTAAGTTCTGGGAGAAGCCTAAAAGTTTGTATCATTTCTACATGTAATTACTGTAGGAATAGCTGTGGCTCAGAACTCTTTAAAAACATATGTTCGAAGGATTTAGATTATCTAGCTTTGGATAAAATATTACAATTTTCCCCTAAGACAATGACTCTGGTCAAGCTAAAGCAAGGTACAGCCTTCATTCAGGTCGTTCTTCTTGGGGTGTATAAAGTGATAGGGTGTCTCTCAAAGTATTTTATTTTAACTTCATAAAATAACTGTTTAAGACAAGACAGTCAAACTTTCTGCCTGTGTAGGTACAAATCATGTAAGATATGTGAGGATTCATCCTATTTTAAAATAGTTCCCAAACTGAAGGTAATGTCATTTCTTTGAAAAACATCTTCCAATGTTTGTTAAGGACTTGCTTACCTCGAAGCAATTTTTCATGATGTAGTTTAGACATATATATATTACAGTGAAAACTCCTTATGATGATGCTTTATTGGAAGAATGAACAAACAGATGATTCTGGCAAACTGTTATATCTGGACTTTAAAAAAAAAAACTCTACATTGAGGTATTAGGCAAGGATGAGTGTGAGATCTGAACAATGTGCTGCTGAGCTTGATCTTGATATTAATTTATAATACATAAAATAGCATACTCACTATTAAGCATAAAAGACAATATGTTATACCTGCTTTACTGCCTTTGGCTACAAGTGGCAAAAAGTCTTTGGATGTGTAAAACCCCTGGTCCCGCGTCAGGCCTTGGAAGATGGCATCTTTATTGGGTTCTGGCAAACCTAATTAATCAAATTTATAAAATATCATTAACAGGAGGAGGAGCTTTTCCTACTAGATATTAAAACAAAAAAGAAAACTTTGATCTTTGAAACAATGTTGTTCTTACAGGAAAACATCTGTAAGCAAATCTAAAATGTACATAACACAGTCTAACAGATCTCAGAGTATATCTTGTATATCTTTAATATATAACCAAGTACACATCATAAATCACACATTAACGTATACCTGTAAATTTATGGAAACATACCATGTATATATACACATAAATATATATAACATTATAGGGAAATCAGGTTATATTCTTTCCTCATGTCATAAATAAGTCAGTTTCAGTTATATTAAAGTACTAAATATAAAAGAAACTTTAAAATTGGGTACATATTTATCTAATTCCTGAATAAGTAAAATCATTTCTTTTTTAATGAAGGAAAAAGTTAAAGGAAAAAACAATGTGTTTTGCCACAATAATTCAACCACTGCTAAATTTCAAAAATATAAATGAATTAAAATGAAAATTATTGACCAGGAAAATGTTTTAATAATTAAATGTCTTTACTGTATAAAAAGTTTCTCAAAATCAGTAAGGAACATATTAGCTTTTCAATGGAAACATAAAGAATAATAAAAATTGGGAGAAGAAAAAATATAAATCACTTATTAGCACTAAAAATATTAACTCCATTAAGTCAGTAAACTGCAAATTAAAAGAATAAAATTATAACTTCCCTATACAAAGAAAAATATTTAAGAAAATTAAACTATACAGCAAGGGTAGACATGGAACTTGTCATACTCTTTTGGTGGAAATATACATTGGTATTCAATATCTAGAAAACAGTTTAAAATCTATTTTTAGAAAATACTGACATATGCAAATAAAGGTTTAATGCACAAAAATGATTAATACAGAAAGAGTAAAATAAGATGAGAGAGTACCAGAATGTCAGGCGAACGAAGAAATTAGTTTTACCATATAAAAGAAAAAGACAACAGAACAGCGAATATTCGAGAAACATGGTATAAGATTGTAATCAAAATACAGTCTTAAACAAACCTGCAGGATTCAAAAGTCTGTACAATTCAAATTTTGTAAAAAGAGTATTAATATAAACCATGTAATCGAAACAGAGATCATTTCTGCTGGTGGCATTAAGGATATTCCAATTTTTATTATTTCCTTATTTTCCAAATTTTCTACATTGTGCATATATCAACTATAAATTAGTAAATTCTTACCAAAACCTCGAAAGGAAAATGAGTAGCAGAGTAAATTTTTTCCAAAGTGTAAATGAAGCACATCTTATAGCAGTCACCCCATTCAAGGCAAGTAGAGAAATAATTCATCTCAATTCCATAAAAGCAGGGGGAAATACGTAGTTTTATTTTATTACTAAGACTCATTCTACCAATGGGTCATTCTAGAGAGGTAGGAGTTTATTTTACAATGAAATGAACGGCCATGGACATTTGCTGGTAGATACAGAGTAATAAGCATAGCTCAAGGATGACTTTTGTCATATGAGATAAGGCGGATGCCATATCTGATCTGAAAGCTAAAGGTTTTTGTGGGTTGTATGTAATCAGCAACAAACTACCATTGTCTCTTCAGATTAAACCAAACATTTTTCTTCCCCATTGAGCACCCCCTGAACCTCCTTTTCCAGAACATTTGCTTATAAATTATTATAAAAGACCTTTTGCTTTCAAAATGATTTCCACTATGTAGTAGGGTAGTTAGGGGAGCCACCTCACCTGCCTTTGCCTCAGCTTCTCTGTGAAGGAAATGGGGATAAGAACGTTTCTTCCTTTTATGATATAAAAAGGTATATTAGTAACAGAAATGATTATATAAATGGGTGGCTGTTTATGTGATTCTTTTAGAAAACCTGGGGTGGAGAGATGGGGTTGGTAAAAATAGCTGAATATGTTCTTGAAGGCTCTCCAATGACAAAATGATTTCTTCTCAAATCTATTAAAAGAAGACTGAAGTAAGGGCAACATTTGACTATTCAAACCAACATATACATATGCTACATATGATTAGTTTTTCTTTGCACGTTATTTAGCCACACCCCAGGTCACACATAGAGCCTCAAGGTGCACAGAGCCCTCCTCTTCTACCTGGATGACAGGTCATCCCTTTTGGCCAAGGACAGTGCATCTGAAGGTCTCCTTGTGGATACTTTGATAGCCTATGCTAATCATAATGCTGTGGGATAATGAGAAGCAGGGATTTTGTCAGCAGACAGACTTTGGTATGAATCCTTCCCCTCTCATTTACCAGTTCTGTGATCTTGTATAAGTTCCTGTGAAGGTTAGGTTTAGGTGTCAACTTGGCTAAGCTATAATACCCGTTAATCAAACACTAAGGTAGGTGTTGCTGGGAAAGCCTTTTGTTGATGTGATTAATATCTACAACCACTTGACTTTAAGGAGATTGCCTCAATAATGTGGGTGGGCACTATCCAATCAATTAATCAAAAGGCCTTAAGAACAAAATTGTGGTTTCCCTGAGAAAGAAGAAATTCTGTCTTAAGTCTGCACAATCAGCTCCTACCTGGGAGCTCCAGTCTCCTGTCCTGCCCTAAGGAGTTGGACTTACCAGCTCCCATAAATAAATAGCCCAATTCTCTAAAATAAGTCATCTCTATCAATCCATCTGTCCATCCTACTAATTATGTTTTTCTGGAGAACCCTGAAATTGAGTTTCTTAATCTGACCTGATTTTCCACTACTTCATTTATAAAAAGAGAGATAATAATTATACTTCTCTCATGGATGTGAGATTTTCTTAAAAAAATACTAAAAATATTATAAAATTATAAAAATATTAAAAATATATCTATATGGATAAATCATATTATATATAATTGAGACCTGGCACATCACGAATACTCATTAAACATTAGCTATTAATATTAAGATAGGTTTATTCTGTAATTTATCAATTATTTCATATCTCATATTGCATGGCAAGGAAGGAATAAAAGCTTATATCAAAATAAAGTATTAAACTTTAGCAAATGTAAATAAAGTTCTACAAGGAAAGAAAAACGAGGCAACCTTAAGTGAAATATGAAAGAAAATGAAACTTGCAAATATTCATCTATCAAAGGAAGACTTCTCTGAGAGTAGGTGGCGTATTAATAAATAAGGTATGTGTCTATACCAGGATGATTTCAAAATGACACTGAAATGACTTTTTAATTCGCCTTTCAGTGTGAAAAAGTTTATGAATAAAGATGAATTGACAAAGATTTGACAAACAAAACAGGTCAGCGTAGTAGATACGCATAGTTTTTGTCTTTCAAGGAGGCTAAATAGTTTGTTTCTTTAGAATAGTTATTTAAGTTGTTGGTGTTTTAGCATGCATTTATACAAAGGAACACCTCCTTAAGAACTATTTTTAAATGGTGATTCTCAAGTTCTCTGAAAAAGAAGGGAGGGAGGGTGTGAGGGAGGGAGGGAGGGAGGGAGGGAGGAAGGAAAGAAGGAAGGAAGAAAGGAAAGAAGGAAAGAAGGAAGGAAGGAAGGAAAGAAGGAAGGAAGGGAGGGAGGGAGGGATGGATGAAGGAAGGGAGGAAGGATCCTGCTTATGTTACAGAAAATTTAAATTAACTTTTATCGACTACAGACACTACTCTAAATGCCTGGCCCTCAGGTGATTATTATATAACCCATTTTAATTCTCAAAATAATTGTATGAGACAACTGATGTTATTATCCACATTTTAAATATCAGGAAATTGAGGCATATAGGGATTAAATAATGCTGCTGAAGGATCACAGAACATGTAAGCAGCAGTGCCAATTTCTAACACGGACACTGGTTGTAGAGTCTATGTTATGAGTTCAAAATGGCTGCTTTTTTCATGTGTAAGGTTATAACTAGGCCAGGTTATAAAGCGAAGCTACATAACCAGTCGTATCTAAAGTAATCATTCAACATTTATGTATTAAGTTTCTCTACAAGGCTGCAGATATGCACACCTCACAGGGTGTGCCTGCAGCCAGGTTCCAATCTAGTGACAGAGAAAGACCGGCTGCTTCTCTTGTGGGCATTTTTGTTTGGTGATTATTTTCTCCAGTACAATTCCTTTCTGAAATGTTTTCCTTCTTAAGTGAACTCCTCTTGGGTATATGCTGGTTATTTTTCACTATTTGATATTCTTTGAAATGTGTATCCTTGCTTTGTTGCCAAAGCACCTCCCTCTGGAACAACTACAGAATAAATAACAGCAGTATATATAGTAAATTCTTTCCTTGTGCTCACATAAAGTTTTGCACAACTTCGGTTAATATGAACAAGATATTAGATGTTCTGTCACATATTAAAATCTAGTAAGTAATAAAGGAGAAAAAAGTTTTTAAGGCTTGCTTTCATAGCTATGGTAGGGCATGTTTAAGAATTACTCAGATTCTATAATGTCTGCTTGTGTTACTTCATCAAGTCACTTGTTTAGTGTTAACTGAATGATGCAAGCACTTGTGCAATGCTTCTTGTTCTTGAAAGGATTCACTTGAATGACAGCTAAGCCATCATGAGAAAGACAGTCATCTTTGGAGACAGCCTCACAAATCCCAGGAGTGAAGAAGATAGCACAGACCACTGAGAAACTACTTCAGGTCCCTGGCCAAAGGTTGTGGATCACAGAAATGAGTGGTGCTGGCCGGTCACGGTGGCTCACGCCTGTAATCCCAGCAGTTTGGGAGGCCAAGGTGGGTGGATCACTTGAGGTCAGGAATTCGAGATTAGCCTGACCCACGGCGAAAACCCATCTCTACTAAAAATACAAAAATTAGCTGGGCGTGGTGGCTCATGCCTGTAATCCCAGCTATTCCAGAGGCTTAGGCACAAGAGTCGCTGCACCTGGAAGGCGGAGGTTGCAGTGAGCTGAGATTGCACCACTGCACTCCAGCCTGGGTGACAGAGTGAGACTTTGTCTCAAAAAAACAAAAACAAAAAGAAATGGACAATGCTCTAGTATACTGAACT